GCGGCGCGGTTGTCATGCCGGCACTGGGATGGGTGCTCCGACCCATGGCACCACCAGCATCTCGCACGCTCGGCTGCGGCGCGGTTGGCATGCCGGCACCGGGATGGGCGCTCCGACCGTGGCAACGACCAGCATCTCGCACGCTCGGCTGCGGCGCGGTTGGCATGCCGGCACCGGGATGGGCGCTCCGACCGTGGCAACGACCAGCATCTCGCACGCTCGGCTGCGGCACGGTTGGCATGCCGGCACCAGGAGGGGCGCTCAGACCGTGGCACCGACCGGCATCTCGCACGCTCGGCTGCGGCACGGTTGGCATGCCGGCACCAGGAGGGGCGCTCAGACCGTGGCACCGACCGGCATCTCGCACGCTCGGCTGCGGCACGGTTGGCATGCCGGCACCAGGAGGGGCGCTCAGACCGTGGCACCGACCGGCATCTCGCACGCTCGGCTGCGGCACGGTTGGCATGCCGGCACCAGGAGGGGCGCTCAGACCGTGGCACCGACCGGCATCTCGCACGCTCGGCTGCGGCACGGTTGGCATGCCGGCACCAGGAGGGGCGCTCAGACCGTGGCACCGACCGGCATCTCGCACGCTCGGCTGCGGCACGGTTGGCATGCCGGCACCAGGAGGGGCGCTCAGACCGTGGCACCGACCGGCATCTCGCACGCTCGGCTGCGGCACGGTTGGCATGCCGGCACCAGGAGGGGCGCTCAGACCGTGGCACCGACCGGCATCTCGCACGCTCGGCTGCGGCACGGTTGGCATGCCGGCACCAGGAGGGGCGCTCAGACCGTGGCACCGACCGGCATCTCGCACGCTCGGCTGCGGCACGGTTGGCATGCCGGCACCAGGAGGGGCGCTCAGACCGTGGCACCGACCGGCATCTCGCACGCTCGGCTGCGGCACGGTTGGCATGCCGGCACCAGGAGGGGCGCTCAGACCGTGGCACCGACCGGCATCTCGCACGCTCGGCTGCGGCACGGTTGGCATGCCGGCACCAGGAGGGGCGCTCAGACCGTGGCACCGACCGGCATCTCGCACGCTCGGCTGCGGCACGGTTGGCATGCCGGCACCAGGAGGGGCGCTCAGACCGTGGCACCGACCGGCATCTCGCACGCTCGGCTGCGGCACGGTTGGCATGCCGGCACCAGGAGGGGCGCTCAGACCGTGGCACCGACCGGCATCTCGCACGCTCGGCTGCGGCACGGTTGGCATGCCGGCACCAGGAGGGGCGCTCAGACCGTGGCACCGACCGGCATCTCGCACGCTCGGCTGCGGCACGGTTGGCATGCCGGCACCAGGAGGGGCGCTCAGACCGTGGCACCGACCGGCATCTCGCACGCTCGGCTGCGGCACGGTTGGCATGCCGGCACCAGGAGGGGCGCTCAGACCGTGGCACCGACCGGCATCTCGCACGCTCGGCTGCGGCACGGTTGGCATGCCGGCACCAGGAGGGGCGCTCAGACCGTGGCACCGACCGGCATCTCGCACGCTCGGCTGCGGCACGGTTGGCATGCCGGCACCAGGAGGGGCGCTCAGACCGTGGCACCGACCGGCATCTCGCACGCTCGGCTGCGGCACGGTTGGCATGCCGGCACCAGGAGGGGCGCTCAGACCGTGGCACCGACCGGCATCTCGCACGCTCGGCTGCGGCACGGTTGGCATGCCGGCACCAGGAGGGGCGCTCAGACCGTGGCACCGACCGGCATCTCGCACGCTCGGCTGCGGCACGGTTGGCATGCCGGCACCAGGAGGGGCGCTCAGACCGTGGCACCGACCGGCATCTCGCACGCTCGGCTGCGGCACGGTTGGCATGCCGGCACCAGGAGGGGCGCTCAGACCGTGGCACCGACCGGCATCTCGCACGCTCGGCTGCGGCACGGTTGGCATGCCGGCACCAGGAGGGGCGCTCAGACCGTGGCACCGACCGGCATCTCGCACGCTCGGCTGCGGCACGGTTGGCATGCCGGCACCAGGAGGGGCGCTCAGACCGTGGCACCGACCGGCATCTCGCACGCTCGGCTGCGGCACGGTTGGCATGCCGGCACCAGGAGGGGCGCTCAGACCGTGGCACCGACCGGCATCTCGCACGCTCGGCTGCGGCACGGTTGGCATGCCGGCACCAGGAGGGGCGCTCAGACCGTGGCACCGACCGGCATCTCGCACGCTCGGCTGCGGCACGGTTGGCATGCCGGCACCAGGAGGGGCGCTCAGACCGTGGCACCGACCGGCATCTCGCACGCTCGGCTGCGGCACGGTTGGCATGCCGGCACCAGGAGGGGCGCTCAGACCGTGGCACCGACCGGCATCTCGCACGCTCGGCTGCGGCACGGTTGGCATGCCGGCACCAGGAGGGGCGCTCAGACCGTGGCACCGACCGGCATCTCGCACGCTCGGCTGCGGCACGGTTGGCATGCCCCAGGCCAGGGCGGCACACGCAGGCACAGGGCTGGCTCCTGGCTTCTCTGGGCCCCGAGGGCCGGACCACGCGCAGGGCTCCAGAGACCCCCCAGCCTGAGCATCTGATGGGGGGGCCGGCACGGAGCTC